CTGGGTGTCGCAAACAGTGGCGCTCATGCATCTACTCATTATTCTTGTAACTTCAGTCTATGCAAATGTGCTACCTTCCGCTTAAATCTGCTCTCAACGTTATGAACATCATTCGGCTATTGTATCCAACTGGGCAACCAAAAGACAGCAACCAAAACCGGCGCACGAAAGTGCATGGCTAATGGTTGTAAGAACTGAACTAAACTCATCCTCAAGCTCCACTTTCCGTGTGCCACGCGTTCCGGCGTCTGACGCCCGCGGTGTTGCTGGTATCGGGATTATTATAGGTGTCAAGGCTTGGTGCTCGCTTCTTCACTGGATTCCAGTCAGTGGTCGAATATCTGTTGTGCGTCTCAACGGTTCACTACTGGTCAACGGATGAAGAACGAAAGATCGGTGCTTGTTCGTTGTGTCTGTGCATCCACCGACCGATTGCAGTGAATCTGAAATGGAGGATGAGTTATACTGGAACTTTAGAGTGTTCAGTCAACGGGCACCGTAGTAGGCGACTGCAATTTTGATGCTTAAATGGAATCCCTGGACGAATCAGAAAGGCTGCTTAGGAGTCAACATGCAATCCCAACCAATAGGACGAACAGTTGAGATCTCCTACTTGAACTTTGCGCTGACCACGGATTGTTCTTGGCAAGCACCAATTTCTCTCACGAGGAACGTCACCGCCTACAGCTTCACAGCGACGAACTAAAATCGGCCACATTGTCATCAGATCCATTGAAGACTGCCACCATTACTAGTCAACACCGGTGGGCACGGATCATACTCTGTTATGAGTCAGATTTTCCCTAAGCCTAATTAAGAGATGCAAAAAGGCCACGGGAAAAGAATACCCACAATATGCTATAAGCGATAGTTACAAATCAGCCTTCGTAACGGAACTCTCACCGCCTCAGTTTGACCACCAGCCGGACTCAATGGACACTGGCCGTTAATCTAGGAAGCTATCCAAATGTCTATCAAAAAGGTAGATTCTGATGCACGATCGAAGCACACACGTTGGATCTCCTCGGTTTCGGTTGCCCTACTGGACGCACGCAGAATCGTTCTTAATGCCAAACTTGACACAGTGCGAAGGTTCCATTAAAGCCAACTTATAAATAGCTTGAATAATGACCGCGAGAAGTAGTGGGTAGGAAAATATAAAGAGAAAGAAAGATTGTGGCTATTAGTTACAGTCGGCTAATTAGGAGTACGGGCTCAGAGAAGGTAAGCGTGAGGTAATAACGAACTCCGATGGCACACTGAATCATTTTCAGCTGCATCGTCTTAAACGATGTACTTAGCGTTTCGAGGCTCAGTTCAACTGATCTCATCGACACTAGACCTGTCAACCGCCACATCGATTGGGGAAATACTGCTAGTTGAGATCAGTCCTCCACCTGAAATCGAGTTCTCCTAGGAACTAAGTTATCTCAAAAGGTATCACGCCTCCGGTACGGATGGGTTCTTCTTATTGCGGTTTAATTCTGGTCTTCGAGTTGACAAAATTCCTGGGTTTATTATGGTAGGGTAATCAGGTTCCGACTGAGTAATTTGAATAGGTCATCTTACCGNTGCATGAAAGGTCATCATCAGTCATATCACATAAGCGGCTGTTGACGGGGATCCAGTCGAGTTGAGCGGTTTCGGCTGTATTGTTGAGTACAATGCCCACACCACACTGGCCTACTGAACGGGCTTCGTCATCATCTGACGTGCGGAGGAAGAACCTCGAAGACAACTCCGATGCACTTAAATGGCTTATAGTACTAAGATCCTGGATTCGCGTCTCCGATACGCAACAGACATTAATCCCCAAAGAATTCATGGTACGCGCCAGACAAGCTTGTTAAACTACCTGCATCAGAGTCCTCACTTTGAAATCCCCCAGATTCAGTGTTTGATAAGGAACAAGTTGTCTGAGAGAACTTTTCGGGTTGGAAGGGGGAGTAAAGGAAGAGGGTTGGGTACGAAAGATAAAGAGTTAAACAAAGATTGTGATATATGAGCAGTAGCCTACTTATCACTACCCACTCTGCTCGGTACAATGGACAGAGTGGTCTTGCTTATCCTGCGCGACGACCGATGCAGTACGAAATTATTTTTTGTTTGTGTATGCATTTGAGTTTGATGGACGGGTACTGCCTGGGTGTCCAGCCACTAAACAGGAGAACGGTTAGGGTTTTCGTCCAAAGCCTTTAATTCTAACAAGAACCTGACCACAAGGCAGCGGGTAAAGCGAAGCAGAGGCTCATTTACTTGGATCTATTACTCCTCTACCATTTTACAGACTGAGACGCTAAGTCGAGTCGAACCCCCAACCTGGAGGACCAGGAGACTGAACTTCGTTTGACTTCTACCCATTGATCTTCCAGGCCTCAAAAGATCTTTTGGCTTGATAAAGCCATCCTGTTTAGCTCGTCGGGTCAGAGAGGTGCCCAAGCCATCACACCAAGGTGCAGTTTCGTCGTGATGGGCATGAAAGGTGATAGATCCTCTTGTGAAAACCAGAGGTATTAATTTAATCAACATTGCCCCTAAACTTCTCGCTGGGATCATACTTCGTCGATTGTCTGCCGCACGTGCAGAGTGCACGCGTGTTTATCAGGCTGGTTTTAGACCTGGTCGAGGTTGTATCGACCACATCTTCACTCCGCCAAACTCTGGAGCACCGTCATTCTTTTCGTAGACCAACGATCTCTGTCTTCCTGAATCTGAAAGCGGCGTTCAACTCAGTCGACCGCTCTAAACTCTGGCGCTGCCTTTCCCTGGAGGGTTTGTCTGAAAAGTTTATTTCAGTATTACGATCCTTCTTCACTAATAGCCGGAGCCAGGTCCGAGCTTACGGCACTTTTTCGCCCGGGTTCACCACAGAAAATGGTATCCGTCGGGGTTGCCCTCTCTCTCGTTTTCTATTCATCGACTTACTCGTAAGTGGCGGACTGTCTAATCTGGAGTATACAGACGATATTGTGCTACTAGTGATTATCCAAGTAGGTTGCAAGCTTTTCTAATTGGTTTTTGTACTAATGTAGCTATGTTCGACATGCATTTTTTACCTCAAAAGTGTAAAATGTTACTTCAGGACTGATTTAGCCCGGACTAGAACCTCACTAACTGGAAAATTTTGTTATTTGAGCAGCTGTATCTTACTCGGTGAACGCATATCGGATGATGTATCGGCTCGCATACAGAAAACTCGATTACCAACTTGAAACTTCTGTAGCGTCGTCGCGGCATCTGTCTGTGAGGTGTAAACTGCAACAGTTCGGCTACTGCTGCTTTATGGTGCAGAGACTAATCATGTCACCAGATAGGTTGCCACGGCGCGCGATGTTTGTCGAGGTAGGTAGTGGTTAACAAAAAATAAGAGTGATCAAACTAAAACCGGGCACGAGGATATGAAAACCTCGATCAAGGAACTCGGTCATATAGGTCACTTTTGGTTTGCTTGATGGGGACCTTGAGATCAACTTACCAGCTGAGTGATGACTGTCGTAAATAGTGATGCTCGTACATCTACTCACTACCGAAATACAGCAACCACAACCATCGCGCAAAACAGCTTGGGTAATGGGATGCTCCAGATGGTGACATCATCTGTACACATAACAATCCCAACGGGAAGAAGTCCAGGAGGGCCAGTTATGTATACCAGTATTTGGATGGGTCCCAAGATGAAGCTTTGAGAAACTCCCATGAAAACTGAGGACTAAAAGGTGAAGGTTATGCCTACTGGGACTGCCAAAGAGTGGTTCGAGAAAAAAGCTGGTTAGGAGAGACGGCAATAGACTAGTGATTCCATAACTCTCCAACTTGTGTTAGAACGGACATTTTGTCAAATATCAAGTCTATGAAAAGAGCATGAAAGAGATATATCCCTCATCATAGACTTGGGTTAGGCGACCCATGCCAATTAGCCCTTCGCGGATTCATAACCGGTATGAGAGAAAATCATGTTCAGAAGCATCTACTGAACCATTAACAATTAGGTGCTTCAGGATAAACCATTTGAGGTGTTCGAAACTGTTACTGGGTCTACCGTCCGCTTGGAGGTGCTGATCATTTTAATATTAGGATGAAAATCGTTTTTTTAAAATTAATATGGTAATACCTAAACATCTAGACCGAATCTTTTCTGACTCCTTCAGTACGGATGAGTAGATTTATTTCGGTCCGATCGAATTGAAAAGGGTTGGCGCGTCTGAGCTGGTCTTCCGAATCTTCAACCATCATAAGAAAGTACTTTAAAGGGGTGTGATCAGATGTGTATTGTAAGCGGCTAGCCTAAGCAGCTGGGGGTTGGTGTTCGCATAAATGATCCTAAATCGGCTTGTTGTGTCCCTCAGCACGGATTCGGCATCAACACGTGTCGAACGATAGATGACGCGGGCTGTTTGTGTGTCCTTGGATGAGGGTTCTGGTTTGTAATGTAATTTAATGTGTTCGGAGTTTGAGCGGCTCGGACCCCACAAGCCGATTTAGGATCATTTATGCTAACACCAACTCCCGGCTGCTTAGATTCTTGGAGTCGGTTGCACTTCGAAAATGAAAACCTAGCCTGTTTTTGTGTGCAAACTATCATTGTCTTGGCAGTGGTCAAGATGTGTGATGATTCGACCCTGTTGTATTCTTGTGTGACCTGATGTACTGTCCAACGATATAAACCATAATTTCTGCCGTATCGTACCAGTTGCGACGCAGCGAAATCTGCCTTGGCATAAATCATGCAACCTAGCTCTTCGAGAAGAGGGGGTTGTTAAAGATTTAGTTGGAATGGGATGCATCCACCGCTGAGGCTGTTCGTTGATGGCCTAATGAATCAGTACTACAGAATTTCTGTATAGTTTCATGTCGGGAAGACGTTACATGGCACGGCTAAAGTGCAATAATCTTTTTCCCTCATTAGAGTTGCACATTACAAATCGAATTTACTAAATTTTCCAACGATTCACTTCGTTTAAATTTAGTCTCTATACTTTCCTTTTTTCAGTCAGAGCAATATGGCCATAAAAGCAAATGATTTCATATTAATACGCAAAGAATTGTATTTCCGTTCACTCAAACTGAACCCAGATAGGTTTGTACCACGAATCTGTGTTATCGCCGTCACAGCATAGAAACCATTGATGGAATGAAGGTTTGTTTGAAAAACGCAATCGGTCTCCCTTACGGCACCGTGTTTGCCGTCAATGGATCCGCTATCGAACCGGTATCCGTGGATGAACTGGACGAACAAGTGCTAGTTTCTTCGGACGAATCGGCCGACAACGGCGGTGCTGCTACCCGGTTGGATAATAAAGATAATCGTGATATTGTGGATTGCACACTGAATCAAAAATTGGACTACGGAGATATCAAAATGCTTCAGTCTGCTGGTAGCACCGCCAAAGTGAGTAAGTTGTGTTGCAGTCTAAATTCACCCCCCCCCACTGCTCTAGGAGATTGTCAACGAATTGGTTAAAGGCAATGCGAATTTCGAAAAGAAAACTAAATTTTCTCAAGAAAAATATCTGAAAAAGAAACGCAAACGGTATCTTGGCCTGTTTTCTATTGAGCGCCCGTGCTCGAGAATTCTGTGTGAGCTGTACTCAAAGCTTCGACGGGACAAATGTCTGTAAGTTTCCCTAACTATCGATTTTCACTGCTCCATACCCGTGGTTCGGCGGTTTAAGTTTCTATGATGGTGTGTGTGTGTGCGCGGCGGCTGGAAATCCGATGTTCACATCCTTTTACCTAACTAAATGAGTTCAAGCCTGGTTGGGTCTCATCAGCAGTGCGAATCCTTCGACTCAACTTGGGATTGAACCCGGGACCTCATGGGCAGAACGCAAGCATGCTACCCACTCCGCCACTTTAGCACACTAAGTCCGGCCGGAGTTACGACGCGCTAACGACTTCAACAGATCGGGCCTATTGAACGTTCCCCGGAGTGAATACGGACCGAGAAGGAAGTCGGGTACGAGCGTTTGTAGTATAATGTCACCTGCAGTGGAGAGTGTAC